TAAGCTAGCATTTGCTGAAAGTAGAAAAAAATATTTTCGTACGCATTTGTAATGCATCAGACAGTGCAGCCGACACGAATAGTCAATATGAAAGTTACCTTTCGTAGTTATACATGAGGCGCGAATAGACGCGCCCTCGCGCCGACCTTGTCTCGACACGGATTTATTCGTGCGTCACCTCACCGCAACCAATACACAGCAGGACATTAAATTGCCGTGAGTTACACGCAGAATGCAATCAAGTTTTAATCACGTTTAAGCGATACCCACGATCCTGTTTTCTTTTTTTTTAAGGCAAAAGAAACGGTAGCTGCACGAACCATGGATGTATACGTACAAAATAAAAATGGTCAAAACTTTACGACTTTGGACTGAGAATTTTGGGTATAAAGAATTTCACTATTTCCATGCTACTAATTGTAAAATTATTAGCATGGAATATACGGACACTTAATGAAAATTTGAAATAAATATATGCTTTTATTTTCTCTAAAAATTGATGTGTGACCTCGAAACAATTTTGAATCTTTAGATCTAGAGATTTTTCAGAAATAAACATATATCTGCTATTATAATTTGTAGATAAAATCCCACTCCACAGTTTTTGCTCTACAGATCATTTACTATTTATTCGTCACTAAATAGATGTATATAACACGCATATTTCATAGACTATATGTAACATATTCAGATTACCACAAGCTTTGCAGTAGGTTAAAAATACGCGAAATATTTTTCCACAGTTAAGTGCGAGGTCTTAACACAAATTTATATTGGGCCTCGCAACACATGGTAGCAGCCAGACGTCTAGACGGTCCGTCGCGTCAGCCTGAAGGCTCTTCAGGAAGGCCGAAATACCACAGAGCCCCCCACTCACCTCAACCCGCTCACGTCCGTCGCGCCCATTTGCCCCCTACTACGATTACGCAATATCGACGCACCTAACTTGCACTAAATTTAGGGTAGACGGCTAACAAGTGACAGCTTAGTAGACGGGGCTGTAAATACGTGACAAAAGAGATAATACATCCTTTGAAGGTAGGGGCGTGAAGTCTTTTAGTACGCGGTACAAATTGGGTATCTTAGGTTTGTATGACAATAGTGGAAATGATATGTATAAATATATCTGCAGGAGGGTTCACACGAATCAATAACACTCTCAAAAATAGCCGTAATGTGAAGAGCAACACAATACTATCTCTAAAGTGGTTTTCACAAGCAATCAGTACCTACTCAAACGACGTAAGCATTAACCTAGACAACTGACAAATACGTAAAGCACTGATGCAAATAAAAACCAATTAAAATATTTTTTTACAAAAAATATCCGGCTTCAAACAGTAGACTAAAAAGTACGTTAACAAGTTACATTAACTTCTCACAATGCATTAGATTTAATACATATTTTTATTATATGGAATACCTTGGAAACATCTACTATACAAAAATAAAAAATCATCATCATAAATGATGAAATTAACCACTAATTCCTTTTTGAAGTGGTTTTAAAAGGACAATTTAACGTGTAAATACAGTTTTTTATATCAAGAAATTTTAAAGCATCTAATGTTGCTCTTGTTTTGCTTAGTTAACGTTAGAAAAAAAGAAGTACAAATTTAATATCTCGCTTTTATAAAATGGAAGTTAAAAAAGTATGTTTCCGTTCGATAGCAATGCATGTCATTAATAAATAAACATCGGGTGTCGCTGCATATTATACGTTTTACCAGATTATGGGTGCATTTGCAACGTCAACGGTGGGATTATTCGAGACTAAATTATTACTGGAGTGACTGTCTGTTAGCATTTTACGAGGTTTTCAACTAGTAATAGTTACATGTTATACAATAAAAATTCGAGACATAATTTCATTTTCTTTTGCCATATGAAGTATTTTGACTGTGAATTTGTTTCGTGTGAATTAATCTTAAAAATAGACATTTACCGCCGCGGTAATTTTTTTAGTTACTTTAAAGAAGAATGCTTCTTTTACCTGTACTTATTTTTTGAATATCAAGACCTGTTTCGCAGTGTACGCAACGGAAACCGTCAATGATGAATAATTTTCCACGTTTTTTCCACATTTTCCTCTGTTCTCTCGCTCCAATTGGTTCAAACAAATAATCTCTTCACCTTTCTATTATTAGTACAGACTACACATAATTCGCGCGTAATATTACTTTTATTATGACACACGAGAATTCCGGCCATAACAAAACAAGATGCACTGTCAATTTTCTTTCAGACCTGAAATGGAAACGAAAAGCGGACTACTCGGTTTTCCATCTCTGTTTCCATTCCATTCATGTTCCATTGTTCCATCACAATTTAATATTTTCCAGCCATTGGCTCCAACATGTTTAGGAAAACTAAAGGAAAATGAACCCACAACCCGCAGATTTTAAGCGATAACAAGTATATTGCAACGAACTATTAGATTAACAAGTCTTATTATAGTTTTTTAAAGCCCCACCAAAGTTTATCACAACATAGTTCGTAGATACGTATAGATTTATAAATTGTATTACTTCACATTTTTAAGCTGTGCTTTATATTCAGAGCGCTATCTTTCGCATATTGGACGTGACTTTAGTATATTACGTGCTCTTTTGAGCCATGCCAAGTGCCCCAAATCCTTACTTAGACCGCAGTTGGAAAAGTATATGTGTTTAACGTGTGTCATACTTAAATACTGTCTATAGTTTACGCGAGTAGTACACATTTAAATAAAACACTTTAACGGTTTAAAACGCGATATATTAGTTAAACTTATTTGAAAATGATTTTTAACTTCGGCCCGACGTTTCGGATGCTTTGCAGCAGCCGTGGTCACGGGGAGACCCGTCTCCCCGTGACCACGGCTGCTGCAAAGCATCCGAAACGTCGGGCCGAAGTTAAAAATCATTTTCAAATAAGTTTAACTAATATATCGCGTTTTAAACCGTTAAAGTGTTTTATTTAAATGTGTGTCATACTTATTTCTTTTGGAATAGAGTTGCAAATTTGTTTAGGTTTTTGGTACTATTGTACATTCTTTTATTAAAATGGTCCGTGTCTAGCTAGAGATTTTTTTTAATTAACTTGGATTACATTATCACCTTGTATAAAATTTCTTGTTATAACAAGTATTAACCCACAAAGACTTGAGTTTTTAAGAACTACTACTACACGTATCTGTGTGGCAAACTAGGTCTAACAAGGCCCCGCGTACAGAATTTTAATCAAATGAATGTCTCGAATTTATTTCTCTTTTTGCGACTGGTACATACGACCTAAATTGTGGCTCAGCAGTTAAACGCATGAACTCAACATCGCATTTAACGCCAAGGTCCTGGGTTCGTAGGCCGGGGAAACATGTACCTAATATACATTAAAAATGGTGTTCTAATCTGTGGATGATCTATGAATAAATAGATAAATAATAAAATATATATAGTCTACAAAGAAGGAACTTACTGAGTGTACCTAATGTGTTCGTGTAGACTAGTATATTGTATTGAAAAAAGTATTTACCTCATTACCAATTAAGGAAACAAGGAAGTGCATTACCGAACCGGTAAGATAGAAGTCCTGTGTCTGGTCAGTGTCGCGTGAAAATTGCGGTGTGAGACGGTATACTTTCCAAGTGTCGGTATATGGCTGCTATGTAACAGTACAGTGAGTATATTTAAGTCAAAAAAGTGTAAAAAACAACTATGGCAAAAATTTAATGAAACAATTACCAAAGGCTCTAGATTAAATTATTTAATACACCATTTATCCAATGTCAAAAAAGGTCGACAGCGCATTTTGTTTAGATGTTATAGGCTGGGGTATAACCCGAACCATGAGTCTATGCTATCAGTAATCATTAAAAAAAAGAAAAAAAAAACTTCCGACAACAATGTTTTATTACTTACGTAAAAATACAACATAAAATAGAATAAATATTATAAGAGTTCGCAAAGAGAGGATGTCTTAACACCCGAATAATTAAACAAAAAACGCCCACCATCTGCATTTTTTATTTGCATGCTTGAATTATGCATAATTTGAGCATTAATTCTACTCAAATAAAGGTAATTCACTTCAATTACCTGTAATTATTTTTAAACGCCGGCTCGCGGTCGACAGGTGAGCACAAAGAGTCTTGTTTCTTTGCAGAGCGCTGGCCGACAGACACCTTCAGGTGTCCTTTACAAATGATTCAGCAATTCAACTTAAGTATAATGGAAAGTTGTCGAAGTATCGACTCGAACGCTGACTGTATTATGAGTCCGTGGAGCGGAGAAGTTCACAGACTAATATAATGTGGAAAAAAACAATAGGCATTATGCATGTTTAAATTTAAAAGAAAAACATAATGCGTTTATATAGTTGTAGAGTCGGTTAATTAAATAAGTAAGTTATTTAGTCATAAATATATATTTTTTAAATCAGAGGAGCATTTAAGCCCACGAATGGGATGCCCATATAGCCCATTTGATGGAAGGTGAAATAAGCCAGCCATATAACATTTAACACGATGCGCTGAGGGCCTATTTTGATAACAATGAAATAATGACGATGCTAGAGGCAGCGTGACCTAATAAAAAACATGATTTTCAATAAGGAGGAGAATAATAACGGGCGCGAAAATAAATTTTTACTATTATTTGTGTAAGAATTATGTTAACAATTTTCGGCCATTGTGTTCTTGTAGATTAACATTTTTAGATTGTGGAAAGTTTGTGTGAAGTCATTAGTGTGTATATAAAATACTACAAAATAACAACTTAATGCATTTCGCACTTACTAGCTATTGCGTAAATTTAAGTAAATTTAATTAAGTAGCTTTATTAATTTTACAACTCATTAGTTAAATTATGAGTAAAAATCAATCGTATGCCGTAGCCGTGCCCCATACATATACAAACTATTATAATGTTATATGCTAAATGAAACGTAAATGTTATATACAGATATTTTGAGACTTGGTTTTTCATATAAATTTGCTCATTAAGTTACATGAGGTTTTCAAGCTATTCAATATGAATTAGAGGTGTCACTTCGTCCCGGTCGCCTACATAGGACGCGTCGAGGTCAGAGCGGGCAGCACAAGGGCGCTGCATGCCCTTGCCGTCAGACGGTGGATGCACCCTGCGGCCTGGGCCTGCACCGAGCGCGGCCGACCAGACGTATTGCGTCAGCGGTAACTGCAGTGCTTTATGATTGATGCATTTATATTATACACATTGGTTATTACAAGGTGTCGCTGGCATAGTAACGTAAATTTCTATGTGTATTTCTGTTGTAACGTTATTTTTTTGACAAGGATTACTTCAAGAATTACTCACTTGAAATCTCATTAAAACTCTATTATTGAATAACTGATGGCTGGCTTTTATCTGCGGACGAGAGTTTGACACCTACATACTTGTGTTTTTGGCATGGCTCAACTTGTTGTTTTGAAAATATAGGAGTTACTTAGAAACATAAAGTAACTGGGAGAAGAACCCACGCCCTGTATATCTATGTAAACATACGAACAACGTACGTAGTAGTTTATAACGTTACGTCGATCGTTTCCGAGAGTAGTACACATTTAAATATAATACTTTTAAAGGTTTAAAACGCGAACATATTATCTGCTAACTTATTTTAAACTGAACGGATGGTTTTCAGCAGCCGTGTTCCCCTAGTGACCACTTCTGTGCAATTAAAATAAATTGTTAATACGATTCAAACCGTTAAAAGTGGTCGATATAAACTCTTGAAATTAGTCATATGTTTTCGACGATTTTTTTTATATATAAGTTGATAAATCTTATTATACTCTCCAAAAACTCGTTAGCGCTTCCTTCATTTGTGTTAAAAAGTAATGGCGCAAAATTTATTTTCACAGATTTCTCTCGAGCCGGAAATCACGGTGTCGCAACGCGTAGTGCAACCAATGTCGCTTCGGTTTAAGGCCTCCATAAACGTTTAATTTCGCATTCATGTCTGCCAGACCGGATAAATTTATCGCTTCATGCATTTTGGACAGTCTGCAGACCGTACAAATGCAGACAGTTTTGTTCAAAGAACTGCCTTAAGTGTTACCGTTACAAATTGTCATCTGTGTAGAAGCCACAACGAAAGCAAGGGAGAATCCCATGTTTATTTTAAATGAGCACTATGGTGTCACATACAATACATATATAAAACACGTATAAACGTTTAAAACGCGACATATAACGCGCGAAAATACATTGTGAGAACCCTGATAAGAATCTGAAAAGTCGGATCGTAGTGAATATTGAATTAACTTTTCATATTTTAAAGCGTTAAAAATGATTTGATTTAATGTGTACCAATCGCGTGTAGTTTTAACAGATAAAAGTTCACAGAATGCAGTGCATCGTGTATCGTTATAAATCCAAATCATATATAACAAAGCAATAACTTCGTATGCGCCTGCGCATAATACCTGCCCACGATTCGTATTATTTATCGTGAGGCGCAGATCGGTAATTGGCACCGGTCGCTCACCCTCAAACCAAAAAAGTTTTTACAAAACATTTTGGAAGGACACTCACACCAATTAATATATTCAACCAAATGAAAATGACATATATTCATTATACCATATTTAAAGAGAGTACAAAAATAAAAACCTATTGCGGTAGGAATTCATTTTTTTTTGTTTAAATATGAAAAGTAGCAGCTAATAGTATGTTAGTTTATATATTATCTGAAAATTCATTGACCTAATATTTCCTTTACATCATCCAATACAGCTTGGATTCTATCATTCAATAGAACAGCTTCGCCTTTTAACGATAAGTAACTTTCGATCCACTCCTTAGAAACGATACTTTTAAGTTCATTAAATGATTGTTTCTCTTTATCTAGCTCTTGTCTAATTTCTTCTTTCACTGGTATGTAAGTATTTACATTCATGTCACGCTCTTTAATTTCCTTTATCTTATTGTTTAAGTCTAAGAATAAATGTTTAATATCGTTTAAAGATTGGATCTGAATGTTCTCTGTCTTTGAATTGATAACTAACATTAATAAATCCGTTCCTACGTCCATTTTATTTTGTATACCACTTTGTCCTATAGCGTCAGTAATAGTTTTTGACGGTAAGATGACTGGAGCTGAAACACACAAAATATTTCCATTATATTATGAAAAGGGAGGAGAAAAAAGTGGCGTTACGCCAGCACAGTCCCCTCCAACCGAAGTTTATTAAAGTGAAAACTTTTTTCTTTACGGCGTAATGCAGCCTGCTTTGTTGGTAAGCTTCATTTGCAGGCATGTAGTTAAAAAGACATTCATGCTCCGCATAGTTAATAAGGCACGCATGGTTCGATCAAATCAAAAGATTTATTATCCAAAAATTTGACGGTTCAAATATTGAAAATGCTAAAACTACAACACACTTACAGCGTTCTGCACACTGGAAACAGTGTCTCCTGTGTTGTTCAACTGCTATTATCAAATGAGATAGTTTCCCCTCAATGTGCAGCAGTATTTCTCCTAATTGAATATTGTAAGACTCAAAATCTACATTGAACAACTGATAATAATGTATGTATTCGTCTTGAAGTCTCAGTATATCGACAAAGACACGTCCATAATCTTTTATTGCTATATCTTTTATTTGCGTTTTCATATTCTCTATTTCCTTCTTGTAATCCTCATTCAATGCATCTATTTTATTCACTAATTCCGGTTTTAAAACGGTATTTACGTATTTCGTTAACTCGTGAATTGAAATGTTTTTTATTTCTTCTGCTGTACCACAGTAATAGTTTTCTTGTGCACGTTTCCTAGAGATTACAGCTAAAAAGGAAAAATTAAAACATTTAACTCTACATGTAGGTTTCAAATTAGTAACAACACAGTATAATACATAAGAAATGAAATATTGTTACTATCGAGATAATTGGTTTGAAGTGAGTAATATAAAAACTAAAATCTCCAAAACGTAATTTTCTGTCCACAACGTCAAATCCACTGCCTCAAATTATTATTTAAACTTTATTCCAGCTCCAGAAAAGTTATAAAAAAATGATCATTATGCAGATTTGCGAAACGTATTTAATACAGCAAGTACATACCACCCTCATAGCAGTAATCGTCGCAAATGATTTTACTTCTATTAAATTTCCTAAATTGACCATCAAAATCAAGCCATTGCTTTGCCAAACGTGCTTTTATTGCTACCTGACCTTCCAATAATGCGCGAATACTCTTAATTTTTGGTTCAAGAAATTCGCGCTTAGAAGCGATATCTTCAATGATATGTTTCAAATGATCGGGTTGTTCGTTAAACCATTTGTCAAAGTCGTCAAGGTCAGCCATATGTTTATCAAGAACGTCTAAAGCTTTTGTAGAGTAGCCGTCTTTTATACTATCATTGAGTTTTAGTTGATCATACATATAATCAACAATAGCTTCAATATCTGTCTTTATGAAGGAGCTCTTGTCTTGACATGGCTGCTCGGTGGTAGTTACTTCTGTAAGGTAGAATTATAAAGAAACATTCTTAGTTTTCACAAACTATGTTAAAGTATAAAATGTTTGCTTAGAATCCCTTACCTACATATGGGTCCTTGGGTTTTGGTGTACTCCAAATACTTTCAATAAATTTATCGTCAAAAAACCATCCATTTACAGCCACCTTTTAAACGTAACAATTGAAAATATTAAAAAAATAAATAAATTGCATAGCCAAAGCAATTTGAAAAGGCGATGAAAAATGATGCACTATTATGCTACTTTGAACGAGTTTTAATGTGTTTTATAATTGTTAATAGAACTCAACTTAAAGTCGATGTTTTTTAAGCAAGCATGGTTAAGGGAGATTTAAAATTTGTTAAACACCGTAAATATAATTCACCTCAAAACTCGTTTAAATTAGTTTGATCTAATATGTATACTAAAGTAAACTACAGAACACAACTAGATGTAACTTCTTCTATTATTATTTTACCTGAAATATCAAAAACACACTTGTATGAACGAACATTTTAAACTACGTAAATTTCATTACTGGTGCAATATGTCCGCGGTTTATTCTTATTTATATTGGCTGAAATGGGAATTCTAAATATTTATTATTTACTACATGTCATAAAACGGGGTATTTATGTTTCTAAATTAATACCATACATGTGCGGAAATGACTGGGTCGATAATATTTATTGCGCGTCTAAAATCTGTTTTAAATATTTGTGTTATGATGAAAGAATTGTATTTTTTCCCGTATCTTGATCACTCTTTCAAATCAACTCAAGATCTTGGATTTTTCTTCGTATTGTCACTCCTGAACATTTAATTTTTATTTAATAATAGTACGTAAAACACTTTTGACGGCCTAAAACGCGAAATATATTAGTTAACTTTCGGACGCTTTTCAGCAATCGTGAAAAGTCGAAGGATGTTAATTTTAAAACATTATTATTTCAAATTAAATATATTAACATTTTTTTGTGATAAAAGTTAGTTTCGTAAGATGTGAAGGGTAAGTACATATATAAGTTTTAACCGAAGCTGAACTAATGTATATTTAACACGATTACAAGCTTCATTTATCAAGGGGGAGTTTGTGGGTGACGTTTTGGGGTTGGGGAGGACTAGGGCGGAGGTCACATAGCACCGTTCAAGGTGAAGGCCAGCCAGCCCGACTGCGCATTCTGTCTAAGGTTTTGCATTGTTACGAAGCTATTGTCTGCTGCTATCTTGAGACGAGACTTATCAACCCGCTTTTTTGCCATTTCAGTCTTGTAAGTATTTCACGTATTTGTTTAATTCCAGGCCAACAAAACCATTGTTATTATGTTGAATCTTTTACATAATAGAGGAAGACAGACAAGCAAGCAGCATATAACATCGAAAAACTATACGCTGTGCGCGCTTTGAATATTCGGAAAAAAACGGTGTTCGTGATCCGGACGGAGTTTCAATATTCCTACGACACGTTTAATATTCGGATTTCCAACCGAAGGCCACAATGTTTCCGAAAAATTTGAGAACATGTTGTATACTGTGGGAAACGAACCCATGTATTATTAATGTATTGCTATCATTAGACCAACGAGCTCATTATTTCACTCACATTCGGATTGTCTGCTAAATCTATCAGATATTTAGAGACGGGTTGATAGATGGTCTCTGAATGTAAAAAAAGCAATTAATATGACTCAATTCAATATATTAAGGAAAATCTAACATTTTTGTAAATTTTTGAATTATAATGTATCATCACTTATTATCACTTTTATTATTTAATTTTCATCTTTTATGTGTGTTACTGTGTGTTGATATTATCGATTATTATAAACGCATTATTATCAACGTGTAGTTTTGTATCCGAATTCTAATTCCGGTCATCCAGCACAGGAAAATTGACGTCGCTCAACCAAATACTATTAGGTGACGTCACAGACGAGGGGTAAGCGTTAATGGAGCGGTAACGTCTCTAACGGCTGCGGTCTCCTATAAACGCTGTAGCTGTAGACAAAATTGAAATATTTTAAGTTCTGACGCTTATCTGTTAATCATAACATTGTAAACGTCGAATTTAATATAAGAAGTTTTGTACGACACTCCGCGATGCCGATGAAATGAGAAAACAATAACCAATAGAATCCTAAGCTTTGGAGTCGAACAAATAGCACCGTATCGGGCTGGTGTTGTGTTTAGTGGTTCTGGTCGACTATTGTTTCCGAGGAGGCTGTAGTCCGATTTACTAAACTCCGCACGTCACTATTGCCGAACGTGGGCGTACGTAAGGCATAATTTAAGTAAAATACTTTGACGGTTTAAACTGCGATACATTAGTTAAACTTATTTGAATATTGTTTTAACAAGGGCCCGACGTTTCGGATGCTTTGCAGCAGCCGTGGTCAAGGGGAGACTTTCTACTCGAGTAAACTACAGACAGTATTTGATTCGCACCATCAGTTAATAAGAAAGCAGGATCCAATAGTATAGATTTTTAACGCTACACGGTGGACGTCGTTTATAACAGACTGCAGCCTTTCCGTTATGTAAGCGAACATCCAATGACAATTATACGCCTAAAATTGAATGGCCGTGATTATTCCATTGAATCACTTGTCGCGGTGTAGTTTTAAATTTCAACGTCCTATTCAGTAAGAATGCGTTGACACCTCATGTACTCTATGTAAATGAAATGATTTTATTTTGTCTTCTAATGCTAATGAAAATAATTCAATTGTTTTTTTTAACTCTGAGTAAAATTTTATACTTTCTGTAGTTCGTACAACCGATAAGATAAGAGCAATTTAAATTTTATTACACTAATGAGAGTACTAGGGCCATAGTCAAGTCGACAATTAAAAAAGGATAACAAATATTATGAAATAACGAATTTGAGATTTCTTTTTATATTTTATTCTACTTCTGAGAGTTCGAATTTAAATGTCATTTATTATAAAATTGTTAAAAATATCTAGTACCTGTGAGTGAAAACTAAAAAAATAGGCTAAATGTGATATATTTAGCCTATTTTTTTTCAGTTTTCACTTCAAATGTTAAGCGTGGGGCATTACTGAAAATCGGCGTTGCGCCTACTTCCAGGTACAACAGTTCTAAATGGTGTCACTTTACATACATCTATTTTTTATTAATGTTATTAAGTATCCATATTTAAATAAAACACTAACGGTTTAAAACGCGATATATATTAGTTAAACTTGACTCACGTACAGACGTGACCACGACTGCTGCAAAGCATCCGAAACGTCGGACCGAAGTTTAACTAAGTGATATGTCGCGTTTTAAGACGCGCAAGTGTGTTAAAACTACAGACAGTATTTATGCATCTTCTTATATCTTATATAGTATCTTTGTATTTTGATATCTTGATAATCGAATTTTGGCATATTTTTCTCGAAGCGAAGGGAGACATGAGTCAGAGGCAAGTCGCCGACGGAAATGAGTGCTTCCTCCGCGCTATCGGCCGGCACTTTTGTTAAATTAAAATGGATGAGGTTTAAAGTGGAGCGGTCGTAACTAACGGTTGGCGCGTCGACGTCTGTCCGCGATTACGCCAATCTACACGACAAAAAATAGGACGCAAGCGACGCGTGGGGTCGTTTCGCACAACGCTCGACCTTACGTTCGGGATCAATATGGAGGAGTGGCTCCTCAACAGGTGAATAAAGGAATATCTCAAAAGTTACCTTTATCCGCCATATTAAATTGTATAACTGACGTGACCAGGGGCTCTTTGATCCAATAGCAAGTGGCTTTTTTTATGATAAAGAAAGACAGACAACTAACATCTAAACATGATGCATTGTCGTCCTTTTGACCTTCAAATTCAGATCCACAGTCACAAACTAAATCGCGATTAAACGGCTAATAAACAACGCTACTAAACAATGGGTGGTGGATTCGATTCCCAACGGATTTCTAAACCAAATATTAAACTGGCTGCCTCTGAGGCTAAATGGTTAAACATTGCGTTAAACGCGCGAGTTGCGTTAAAGGTTCGAATCACGGGAAAGCAATAGGTTATTTCGGTAGTGCAGCTAAATGAAACCGGCCAGTGAAACGAACACAAAAGTGTGTTCCCCCCATGCCCCACCAGGGAAAATCGGATTTCAGTATACTACTATTATATTAATCTGGACAATCTGGGTGGTAGAAGCTATTAGCTATTATCGAAATTCTAACCAGGTCACGAACAACCACGAAAGCCGTGAAGTGTGAATCCGCCTTTCGGTAAGTCCAATATATATCTAAATGATGGACTAAATAATTTTAGATTTCATCTAATGATTTCTACGTTTGACTATTCCCCTCAATGAAAAACATAGTAACAGAAAGGTAAATTAACTGATATATTACGGGGTTTGAACCGTCTAATGTTCACTTACACTACTGGCATTGCTTTAGAAGATACCTATTGAGGCTAGACAAGTTTTTCAAGAACTCCAATAATATGAATTCAAGTTACATCTAAAGAGAATATTCGGCGACAGCTGTTTCCCTGAACAAGTCAAATTGACTTCGATTTATATAGAAACGCTTAAATGTATCTATTATTTATTATATAATATGGTCTACATGATAATATACATACATATTATTTATCAGATAATTAAGATCTAAGTTTGTAATAGATATAATTGATAAACATATTCAAATAAGTACCTACTGTCTGTAGTTTACACGAGTACACATTCAAATAAAACCATTTTTAAAGAGGGTCTCACGTTGACCACGGCCGCTGCAAAGCTTCTGCGAGTAGTTAAAGTAATTTGTTTAGCTAATACGATCCGCGTTTAAGGAATTAAAATTGTGTTAATTAAATAATCAAATAATATTTATTATACATTAATATACTGATATTTTTTTATTATAGAGAAAAACAGAGCCTGGGGTTTTCTTGATGGAAGATGAAGTGCCTCATATAAATCTAAACAAGACGAGTTGTCGATCGATTTTGACATTGCATATTCAGAAATCCAAAAAACCGAAACGCGATTAACTTCACGTCTTTTGTGTGTGAACGGTGGTTCGACCTGGAAAAGAAACGTTGGACCCAGTCAGGATCGAATCTATGAGCCGTTGGTTATTATGATTAGACTTAACCTGTCTATTATTCATGATATACTGTTAGCTGTAAGGTGAAGGTTAAATAGAGTAATTACGATAAACAAACGACTAAAGCGTAAAAGAGCAGACGTGAAACGACCTTTCCTTAGCGACTTACGGCTCTACGAATGGCAATCCAAACAAATAGCATTAAGGTTAATAAAAGCGTACTTTATATTGAGTTTTCGGTTTGTGTAAATAGCCGTCTAGGTATATAAATTTCCATAATGCAATTCGTCTAGACTTTACAAAGCGCTCGCGAGCGTGCCTAGCGGAGACACCGTCTGGAGGTGAAATAGATAATAGCCTGCACTAGGTACGCTGCACTTTTGCACTCGAGTGTACTTTAATTTTACACTCGTCTTGCGTACTTAACGTTCTTAATCTTTATTCTTGGCACGTGTATTTAAACTGTTTTATACTTCTTAAAACCTCTTTTGGAAAACCTGGACATTATAGGTGGTAGGTATATGAAACAGGTCAACAGCCCAACATTTCACCTTCCATCAAGTATCAAACTTCAACAAAAATTCGGATTAAACAAACATTTAAAACAATTTAAGGTTGAACTCCTTTAACCTATTCGTTAGTTTGTATTAAACTATTTTTATTTTTAAATATTTTATTAAGCTAATTGATTTTGCCAGATAAACCCAGAATTACATTTATTTGAATAAAATCATGAATTTTCAAGCTGGAAAAGTTTAAAGGCAAGCTATTATATGATAATTTTTTATTTTATAGTAGGAAAACTAGAATTTGTAATTTGTTTTCAGTAGTATATATACATGATATATATTTAAAACATAAGCTTTATACATCACACTAATGAGAGCACTAGGGTCATAGCTAAGTCGACAACTGAAACGGTAACAAATATGGAATAAAAATCCTATCAATTGTGATAGGATTTTTCTTTTCATTGTCATTTTATCGATAATGTTAAAATCGGAGGAAATCTTTCATAATACCCCGAGATGTAGGTTGATGACGTAAAGGCACTCATTGTTTGTATAGTAGTCTAGAGTCTAGACCGAAGCGGGGGACATGAATCGGAGCGTGATAACGTCTAGAGGTTATTTAAAGGCCTTATTACTTCTTGCTGCATATTTCATGTGCTAAAAAATTCATCAAAGAAGTGTTTACC